CCCCCCCTCCCTCTCTCTGCGTGCTGGACAGTCTGAGGGCATATTCACACGAGGATGTTTTCTACTACTTTCTGCAGGTGATTGCAGTCAGATGCATTCAGTATATAGTTGTAATTGCGGTCAGATACGTTCAGGAAAATGCCCGTGCGAGTATGCTCTGATGATACAGTCATCATGAGCATGCGATGTGTTCTGGAGGAGACGGTGGCTCAGCATTGCGTTGTGATCCGTCGAAGACAGTAGAGAGGCCAGCATCAGTCAATGAATGGTCAGCAAATGTATGCGCAACAGAGCACTCTCTCTCTCTCCACCCTCTCCTCTCTGTCCCTTCTGGCGCCCTTGCCTTTGGCGGGCTGCAGTCCATTAACGCACCCTCCTCTCTCTCGCATTGTTAGGAACGGATTGCAGGACTGTGCGCAAAGAAGATAAAGAGGCCCAGGTTATGTCCTGATTATGTTGTAGGTTACTTCTTTCTTCGTCCGTCTTCGGTTGAGCGATCAATCAGCCAATCATTCTATTAACCAACCACTGAATCGGTCAATCGATCGATCGATCGATCCGTCGATCGAACCATCAATAAATCAAATTAAATCAATCAATCAACCCACCAATCAATCAATCAATCAATCAATCAACCAATCAATCAATCAATCAATCAATTAACCAATCAACCGACCAATCGATCAACCAATCAATCAATCGATCAATCAATCAATCAATTAACCAATCAACCGATCAATCGATCAACCAACCAACCAACCAACAAACCAGAGAACAACCAACCAATCAACCAATCAATCGATCAATCGATCAATCAAGTCAATCAATCAATCGAACAATCCATCCATCCACCAATCAATCAATCAATAGATCGATCTAACAATCCATCCACCAATCAATCAGTCGATCGATCGATCGATCGATCAATCGTGAAAGTCAAGGGATGTCCTCCATATTTTGACCAAACGTCAATCAATCAATCAATAAATGAAAATCATTAAAGCGAAGGGAAGGAAAAGGAGGGAAAGAACGATGAAAGAAAGAACAGAAAAGAACAGCCTTTCAATATCAATCAGACCAAAAAGAAGAACACCAAAGCAAAGAAGAAGTTGGTTCTGACATTCTTCCTTTTCTTTGTGATTTCCGGATTGACAGAAACTGTACTACTGCTTTACTGATTATATTATGATAAGGTTGTGATTCTTAAACTACTACTACCACTATTACTACTACTACTACTATTATTATTAAAGATGGTCCTTGTAGCTCATGATCCAGTCCATGGACCTTTCAAAAATGCTCTGGGGAGCAACCTTGAATGCAATCTCATTCATTTTCCTGACAAAATTGTTGTCGGTTGTCTGCATAAAGCCAACAACCCTTGCCACATGCATCAACCTCCTCACTCTCTTTTTCCGGAACTCCTCGTATCTGCTCAGGGCATCCGACAATCTGTTCGTTTCGTAAGCGAGTGCTCTTGCGACTGCACACGCATCTTCAATAGCCATATTCGCCCCTTGATTGATAGTCGGCAGCATGGCGTGGGCGGCATCTCCGACCAAAGCGATGTTTCCCCTCGACCACGGCCCCCTCCATGGCGTCTCAAACATTCCCACCTTCACCATCCTCGTCGTCCGATTAAACATGGCATGATGATCGTACGGATGAAACCAGTTCCACATCCGATCCATGCCCTTCAGTGCCGCATCGTCGCTCCAGAGCTGGCTCCCTGCCCCGTTGCCGTTGTTGGCCCCACCCTTGCCGTAACCGCCACCGGTGATGCTACCGTTGCCGTTGCTGTTGCCGTTGGTCGGCTGGAAGCCCTCCCTCTCGCCGAGGAACCAGTACTGTTTCTGCTTTCCCATGGACCAGGTCCCATAGACTCTGCCGGGCCCGAAGATCCAGTACACGTTCCCTTGGACGGACTCCGGGACCGACTTTGTCACACCCAAGACGCACGATATGCCCGAGTACCGGGGGAAGGTGGTGAAGAGGGATGGCGGCCCGTTGGCGGCGGATTTGTCGCCAGATTGCTGAACGAGTTGCTCTCTGATCACTGACTTCAGACCGTCTGCTGCTAGGAGGACGTCTCCCTTCTCCGTTGTTCCGTCTGCAAAATGCGCCCTCACTCCTAAGTTCGGCCCCAGATCTTCAACGCCTACGCATCTCTTGTTGAATAAGATATCCCTCGTCCGCTCAGCATTCCTCGATCCAACTGTCGGTCTCAACACCTCGTGAATCATCAATGCCTGAAGCTCCGCCCTCTCCAGCACGAGCAGGGGATAGCCATGCTTGCGTTCGATGAAGGATAGATCGAATTCGCGCAGCTTCTGTCCGTCGTCCCTGTACACTTGTAACGATCTTACCTCGCCACCAAATACCTGTACCTTGGGATATAGACCAAGACTCTCCAGTATGCTCAGGCCATTCGGCCCTAATGCAATCCCTGCACCAACGGGCTTAATGGCAGGTGCCTGCTCGAAAACAGTGCTCGTGAACAGGACGCCTGTCCTCTGCACTTGCTCATTCAGCTTCCTCAATGCAAGTGACAACGTGCATCCTCCCATTCCCGCCCCAATGATCAAAGCTCTTATATGCCTCATGCTGCCCTCCC